GGCGTAACAAAAAGTGTTTTAACCTCTACAACTTCATACTGACTACACGTAAACATTTGAATTTTGCTCGTAAACTAAACGAACATGACAAAGTTTCTAGTCTCAACAAAGTTGGCAAGTATGAAAATAAACGGGAAGTTTAGCTTTGGACCAGATTGTGTCTTGTGTCGAAATGACTCCCGCTTCCCGGGCCAGTCCACCGCGCCAAAATATGCACATTTTGGCGCGTCTGCAAGTTTTGTTTACAACTGCTCAGCTCCGCAAGATGCTTCGTTGCCTTGTTCGGTCGTTTAGTTTGATAAAATCCCTAGATGAAGGATTCGGGCTTTTAGTATCATATTAAACTACATGATTTGAAATTATGTAGACCACAGCCTGCAGTGGCAATAGACAATAGTGACTAGTCGGAAAATATTGAATCTGGCTTCATAGTAATGCTTATGGTTCAATTTAAAATCTGGACTGTTTGAACACGTTTAAAAGGTGGTATTTTCAAGTGGTAGTTTGTAAAAGGGTTTAAGCAGTGGGAAATGTTAATGTTCCATTTTCCTTTCGTTAATGACTAGGAAAAAGTTATTCTCTGAAGGTATTGATATTGTTGAATATAAATTTCAATCCGACGGGTCGTGTAATAACTTGTGGTTTAAGTATACGACTAAACGTATAATAGTGAGGTTGATTCATACTCCTTAAGGTAGTAAGAACATTGTTTCTTTTATTTTATATCAAGATCAAATTTTCTATCGTAATGGAAAATCACACTTGTGCTTGATCAAAATTGTTGCAAGTTCAATGAAAACTGTGCTTCATCTAAGCGAAAACGAACTTTACCTTAAGTTGTTACACAAATCGCCCAAGAACGCCGTCACTAAACGAAATGGTTAACCCCAAGCCAAATATCTGAAGTCACTAAAAATCCACTAAAACAAACAGTCGTATAAGAAAATCCACAACTAACAAATTATAAGGAACGCCACAAAAAGGAAACAATATGAATAAAATAACAATAAAAGAACAGAATGTGCATTACAGATGGTTAAGTCCGGAGACAGGGTCTCTGTCTCGATATCTACTGTGATTCACACTTTTGATTAATCCACGAAATAATTAGAATCTAAGCCTACAAGCTGTCGGCAAACCACACCAAACCATCGCAGGGCGGCCACCCGCCCCCGTCCACCACTATCCCTTGTTTGTAGTGTAAAGTGTAGTTTGTGTATGTGAAATATAGGTCTACTTGTGATAGTTTTTATCAGACTGTTGTTGAGGTACAGAGGTTGTTAACATGTTGAAAAAATCAACCTTAGAGAGTATTTACAGATACAAATTTAGTATGAAAATTGTTAGCTCATCTACGTATAGTTTAGATTTCAAATACATTAACTATTATTCAACATGTACTAAGAAGTAAATATTGAGATGATGAGTATTAAGAAAGCATCAGTGTATCATTTCTTATATGACCTGATTGCTCTTGATGCACAATTAGATATGACCGGTATTCCACTTTAAATCGCTATTCGATTTCAATATTCCACAGGAAAACTGTTTTCTTTCAATCATTAAGTATAAATATTGCACTATAAATTAATTGACAATGCGCAAGACAAATATGCCTATTCCATGATATTTGGTTTGGCTTACCACCTTCACGTTTTATTTAATAGATATGTAAAAAATAGTATTAAGGTTCGGTTACACTTAAGTAAATAGATTTAGTTTCAAAACTACTAAAATAAAAAAAGTCGTTACCGATGAACCCCATATTTCCAGTGATAAATAATCGAAGGAAAGACAATATAAGTGATAACTGTACAGATGTGCTTTATCATTGTCGTGACGGCATCAGAAGTAAATCAATACCAAAGTCACGGCAATTAAACACGTCTTGAATCTATTGGTTGGAAACAATAGAATCTGTTATTTGTTAGATTATTAACATGATATGCTTGAGAATACTCTACACTCTTGGTCTTTAGTAAAAGGTTTTTACAAGACATTTACGCTCTTGTTCTTTAGTAAAAGGTTTTTACAAGACATTTACCCGTTTAGTCTTAAGTAAAAGGTTTTTACAAGACATTTATCCTCTTGGTCCTAAGTAAAAGGTTTTTACAAGACATTTACGCTCTTGTTCTTTAGTACAAGGTTTTTACAAGACATTTACGCTCTTGGTCTTTATTAAAATGTTTTTACAAGACATTTAAGCTCTTGGTCTTAAGAATAGTCTCACATTTTGTGTGGTTGAGATTATCCTATACTTGGAGAAATTATTGGAAAAGGAAAAATCTGGAATCACCTAACTTGTATTTACCAAATGAATGAAATTAAGTTCTAATACGTTGGTCTAGCATTAAAGGAAATACAGCATACTACGAAGTACTAAAGAAATATTTTGCCACGTAAACCGAGATAAGAATGCCAAAACCTTTATTTGCAAACATTGTTAAGTTATCACGAATTTTTTTCTAGAATAAACACCGATGATTGTTCGTCAAATAGTGGACCAACTATGCTACGACCCCATAGGCTATCGGCAAGCAATATCTGGCAGTGAATATAACGACAGCTGCCATTTAATAAATCATAGTGGTAGTCGCGAGTTTATTAAGGGTGAACAAAGCACGTACTAGGGGTGAGCAGAGGGGGGGAGGGGGTACTAGACGTGCTGTAGGGGTCCGGTATATTGGGAGGGTAACTCACCCTCAGAGTGCGTTTATTGTTTAACATCCCTGTTGTGTGGCAAGCGACATAATTACGTCAGGTGAATTTGGGAAAATCATTTTTATAAGGATAGCAAAACATGTCCTACCTAAAATCAAAAGGGAGGAGGACATCTCAAAAACAAAAACTTGTAAAAACTTGTAGGCCTACTTTTCCGGTATTTAAAGTAAAAAGAAAGAGCAATCTTACTAAGTACAGTTTCAGGCCATATCACATTTTAAATCAAGGCAAAGGCGTAATATCTACATGTAGATAAAATAAACAATTTGTTACTCCTGCAGGTCTACTATGTTTTAAATATTCCATGTTTTGTTAGTTTGTTTTTCTCTAATCGCAATTTTGTCAACTGTATTGGGGTTATACTGGAACGGTGAATGTAAACAAGTTTCTAAATTAGGGAAAATTTTGTGTAATTAGCAATGAATTAGGCTTAATTAAGAGGCATTATATGGAAACCATTACTGTCCAACTTAAGGGTGAACTACGCAACTTAATTAAGAGAGAATAATTATAGATTTAAAAAACTTTGAACCTCACTAGAATTCTATCATTGACAAGCTTAAAAGCATAAGTATATTTAAATCACTTAATAATTGAAATTCTGCAGTCGTTGACACCATTAATGTAAACTATATTAAAAACAACAAAAACCTTACTACGTAAAACGAGATCAATCAAGCAAATCTATACTTACTTTAAATAAAGATATTTTGGACAGAGTAATCAAGTAATTTTAAGAAGAAACTGGTACAAAAAATAGAGTTTTTGTTCTACAAGCAAGACTAATTTAAATCGTTTAATGTAATGTTAATGTTGTTTTAATGTTAATTGTAATTTATTTAGTGATATATAGTTAATGTTTCAAGCGAAGATTAAAGAGAATAGATCAATCCCTCTGCTCAATGTTAATTTTGAAATGTGGGGTCCGTGAGAAGATTTGAAATAATTACAACAACCGTGAGATGCTTTTTATTTAAAAACCCACATCATATGATGTGATGTTATGTTATGTTTTCTTTACTTTATTGGCGGTTGAAAGGATTCTATGCATCCTTACAGTTATCTATGAGGGATTGTGTTATTGATAATTTCCAGTAAAAATAAGACGTAAAGGGTTTTTTGCCCAAAGTATAGCTTCCGAAAACGCCAAGTTAATACTTTTTCAAAATAAATTCTCAATAAAACTAAACCTCAAATTGATAACTATGCAACAATGCACAATCAGCTGATTGGCAATGAAATAAACAATACAAGGATGCAATAATATGAGCTCGTTTTGTCGTAAAACAGTGTTATGGTACAGTACTTGTATTTTTGGTTGCGTAAAAAACACCAAATACATTGTTATTTGAATAACCCACGATAGTAAAGTAATTGAGATTAAAAAAGCATACATTTTAAAAACCTAACACGTTCCTTCTTTTTTAAGAAATGAATTAATACCTCTGCTTGAATATATTGAGTACTAAATAGCGTGTTACAGTGAGAATATGTTCTTAGATGTGCGTAAATACTCATGTTGCCATCATTTCGTATTTTGGAGAAGCTTTAATTACAAATACAATAGTTTTTACCTTTAGATAGCTTTTTGATACCATAATGTGATAAACTATTAGTTTAAATATGAAACTACAAGAGATAAGGAAGACTGTTGAACAATTCTTTTTCTTTTCAACCTATGAATAATTTCTACCAATTAGAAACCTTGTACACAACATGTGAGCATGTAAAGTATCGACATATATTACTACTGGTGTTGTAGTAGTTAACATTCATAGTGTGTTTTGTTTTGTGTATGTTGGTAAGTGGCAGACAGGACGAGGGCTCCCGCGAAGTGAGTTCCTCTATACAGATATGTAAGAACAACCAAACCCAACCAATACCGATAGATTCACAGCAAACGTGCACTCTGCGCGCAAACTGCAAAACAAACACACACACGACACTAACACTGTTTCCTTCGAAAGGTAGATACCCTCAAGTCCCTGTAGATACCCAGCAGCTAGTCACCCAATTGTCCGGCCGGCGTTCGCTACATAACAGAGTATACTTCAATAATCGTCTTCACAACAGATGGATTGGGCATGCACGAAATCGCGGTTAAGTGTACACTTAAATTATGATTTTTTTTATTTACTGAATTGTTTACTTCATTTGTGGTTTTGAAATTTGTAATTTTTGAAACAATTCAACTTGTTTGAACAAAGTATTTGCAATGCTTTGGAGTTAATCCTGTGTACGTAGAACTATTTGCCCCAGTAGTGGTACGTTGTACTCACCCGTACTGGCTCTGCAATACAGTGGGGTAGGTTGTCCTTATTCCAGGGAATTGGAAACCTGCAACAATAAAATGTTTATTGTTTTAAGGAACAAAATAATCACAAGGAGTTATATTTCAATACAAAGTCTACTACTAGTTTTCAAAAACGATCAACCTAGCGAGAACCAACCATACGTAATTCAAACACTACGTTTGTTTTCTGAGTACGTTACTACCATGTGTAGGCACTCCCAAAATAGTATATTTCATAACAAGAGTAGAAAGTGAGTCATTACATATTTGAGACCATGTGTTTGTCGAGAATATAGACCCACTTTCAATCGTATTTTAAAGTTACTTTTCGCTACACTACAAAGACTAATTATTATTTTTCTAATTAAAACAGACATTTAGTATTTCTTTATTACAGTTAGGAACATTTAAAAACTCATAGCATTTTTTTTAGGTAAAGCCTTCAATTTAAAGTTAAAATTTACATTGTACAGTTTTGGTTGTTGCACGGTAGATGAAACAAAAACAATTGTTTTGTTTGTTTACGTCCGCAAAAGACAAAAACTATAGTAAGCGTTACTTTTGCACAGTAGACATTCTTTTTGCTTAATAAACAATGTAACGATGAACAGGTTTCGCAGTGTATTCTTCAGGAAACTTATTTGATAAATTAGTTGGTTTATTTTTTGTGAGTCATTTGAATATTACAGGTTAATCAAGATTCATCATGTTTCAAGGTTTATTACAAAACAGATTATTGCGCATTTTGTTTCGCGATGTTTCACATAATTGAATTCTACCTCAACGCTTCTACAACGGCAATTACAACTACTATAATACTATAACCTACATTTTAGAGGTCCATATAATCTCAGTTACACATTTATACTAACTGCAAAACTACTGCAATGGTGAGTAACCGAATTGGTATGAGCAATAACTAATTGCCTAATTGTGTTGCTGTTAATTCAACACCTGGCTTGATGACTTGATACTGTAGTTACCTTTGCCTTATTAAAAAAAAAACTGCCAAATTAAGTAGTCGTCCAAAAAACCGATGGCATGTATCATCGCCGTGTAGAAGAAGTTACTTATTTTATCTTCAGTTCCCTTTAGAAAACTTGTTTTGATGTGTATAAAATATCTTGGTCCACATGACCTGATCTTTATTAGATGCAAAGTATTTATTGACTTACAATCTTTATTTAGCTTTCATCCCCTATGGCCCAATCCCAATCACATACGGAATATTTCTAAATCCATCCTCTTAATTGATTTGATAATTTCCCATTAGCAGACGTGAATACTTCTGAGTTCTCACCTACTAGCTCCACACAGTGACACGAAATCTGTTTCGATCTGAAAACCTCAAAGAACTTAAGCCCAACATTAATTTAAGGCGATTAGCTGACGAGACTAACTACAGCGATAAACGATGTTTGGTATTGCGTCCAAGCGCTGCCAACCATCCGACCTTTACAAATTTGGACCAACCTTACAAATGAGCTACAGCGTGTTGGCACCGTGCTGTGATTTAGAGTAACCCAAGGAGCCGCGTGCAGCAAATTAATGCCGGAGATGATAATAATAAAGCCGGGAGAGCGGAGTGCTCTGCGCCGTATATGGGAAGCGAGCGCTCAGCGCAGAGGCACAATTATTTCGGGGGACATTGTGAGTTGTGTCGCCCGGTGGAAATAGACCGGCTTCGGCGTGTTGCCAGGGGAGGTCCGGAGGTTGGAAATAAACTGTTGGCTCCAGTCTTGTCACCTATACGACCGTGGCGAGGTGAGAACTATCCAACTATCTCAGGACACCATCACTTCAGGCAGAATGTACCTTTGGTGGTGAGATGTCTGAAAATGCACATCTCTATGTCTAGAAGTGTGAGAATCCGAAGGAGGGGAGTCTGAAATCGCATCTCCGAGATTCTAACCTTTTGACGATAGGATCAGAGTAGAAATCTGACAAACTGCTTTTCTGTAGCCAGAAAGAGGTCAGGCAGCATTGACATCAGGATTCAGGAAATGGGGATTTCATTCACAATTGAGATACTATCTTTCTGAGTACACAAACCACACACATGACACAAGCTGTCTACATATAATTTACCACATGAACACGTGAAATTCAAAACGCTGATGTATGTCATCAAAGCGACAAGTTGGAAGCTCACGAACGTTCATGGCGAATCATTTTACACTATCATCGTTTCGTGTTTACACACTGAAATCGATTATACAGGAACAGCCTAAAATAAATTTAAATTTTTGACATTGGATAATAAATTGTGGAGTTCACTAGATAGGCACGGTTGAGGTAGCATGAAACACGATGAGGGTAACAAATTTTGCTATTCTCATTATCAAACATGTTTTACTGCTAGACCATCAAGTTAGGTAGTCTTCAATAAAAAGTGTTTTAATCCAATGCTGCTATTGACATAATTTTGTTGCTGAAGAAAAATATACACGCGATCTAAATGACAAATCGATTTAATCACATTTAAACAATTGAACTCCCACGAAGATATTGGAACCCCGCATCGACGTCACACACATAGATCGCAATAAATCCCGCACAACAATGCGCGGTTTAATCAGAACAGTCACGTGACGGGAAACGTACAAACGCGTGCAGCGACGTACGCACGCGCGTGAACGACACACGCGCAGACACCATGTGTGCGGGGGGCGGCCTCCCTGGTCACATCTGTCCCAGCTCCACAGCGAGTTAGCGCCGCCCAGTCTGGCCAACCTTTGTCACAAAGAGACAATAAAACATATCTGCGAGTGATAAGACTATAGAGAATATTGATCGATTAAATGGACAGTCATCGCCGTGCGGAAAAATGACAAACAGTGTAACAATGGATAAATCGTCATTCATGTATTTATTTATTAATTTACCAAGATAAAATGGAAATGAGTAAAGGCACAGTCACATAGAAGTAATATACTTCTCTGTAGTAAAGAGTAATAGTTGAAGATGAATGTAGAATGAGATGAGAAATAAGACCATTGTTGATGTCAGCTGATTTATTTAGTCAGGACCATTATCAATCCTGATAATTATGATCGAACTGTCAAAGAGAAAGACACAATCAAGGATCACCCAACAACGATGTAAGGATCACCAGGAACGTAATGATAAACAATGCCTTATTAATCAAATTACAGCAAGTTATACCAGTTTTCAAATAAACTATACCTCAAATAAAATATTGCAATATTCTTGGTTATTTGTATTATTTTCTGGCCAAGTGGCTTATGACGACCCAGATGGTAATGGCTGGAAGCTTTTGAATGTCCAACTTTAAATTTTATTCTCCTTAGTTAGTTTCCAGAAAATTTTCTAATAGATAAAAATCAAAGGTACTGTAATGTGACAGCACTTTAAAACGTAGACGTTTCTCTTGCATCCTCCCACCTCCCACCATGGTGTTAGTGTATGGTTAACAGCGCATGTGTGTGCGTGTATGCGCGTGCGGTGGTCAGTACAGCACACAGCATATGCGGGTACAGGGGGCACCGAGCCACCTGTCTACAAAACCAGCCATGCGCATTGTACCGCTAAAACTACCCGCCACCGACACCCGCCAAAACTTGCCCACCAATTCATTACACTGTGAAACAACCGTTTGATTATACCCTGACAAGGCTCCGCTCCTGGGAGTCATTTGACGCGTTAACTAGTATGACAGTTTGTTCAGACGTTTAAAGAAAATTGGTGCAAAACATTGGTGAAGGTACACAATTCATTTGTAATTGAAAGTGAATTTAACACGCCTACATGTAAAACAGACACTGCGAAAAAATCGGATACATTGAAAAGACTTGGTATAAGGAGGGATACCTATGTTGAAAATCATGTTAGAAACACTACCTAGAAACGGGAGAAAAATCTACCTAAGATAAGTGAATCTTAAACAAGAAAAAATAACGTACAATAAGACAAATGAATATCGAACAATAAATATCGAAATTTATTACCTGGCGATAAAACCCTCCACTTGGAAAACAACAAAACACAATTAAAACACGGATGGAACGAAGAGCTATTAATTAAGGGTAAAGTGGGAGAGAGAGAGTGTTAGAGGGGGGGTGGGGTTGTTGGGTTTGTATGTAGGAAATGAAGCTCTAACATCAACAACAGGTGGCGAAGTGAACGCAGAACACGCCATCCGGTCATAGCGTTATCACTGCTATCTGTTATCAATCAGTATCTAGCGCTGCGGAAACGCGGGAAACGTCACCAAATTGGCGGGAACTCCAACACGAGATTGAACGTCCGTACGTAACTGGACAGGGACGGGTATTTAGTTTTTTTTTTTTATTTTTATTTTGAAATCCTTATAACTAGAACACTAATAACTCTTGTTCAACAAAAGTGTCATCTTGACCAAAATCTATTGACACATTATAATATGTTGCAGTAAGCACTTACATAAAATAAATGTAGTATTGTCCCTACGAGTAGATATAAATATGGTCACAGCCTTCGAGTAACGATTTTTGATTATACATTTAAAAATATTTTCATTTTGTAATAATTACATTTAGACGGAAGAGAAATTGCAAAGAACTTTGTTAGTGTACATTTACAGAATTTCTGAATGTATTTAACTTTTAGCAAACAATAATGGATTCTGTTTTATAGTGTGGAAATATTTACGTATGCTAGAACAGTTCTCCATATATTCACTACTACCCAATAATTATGGTAGAAATTAATGTTATTTAAATGGTCACGCAGTGGAAAATACAGTAGGTGATGAGTAGACCTGTTCCTACGTAATGTAACGACCATCATGGCAGTACAGACAGAAACCGTACTGTATTGTAAAATTAACTAAATTTTTCAAACGTACAACAAATGATGTATGCTTGAAAAATAGCACACATTAATTAGAATATATATAAATGTAAATAAAAGGAATTATCAGTTTACATTAACCCTAAACATTGAAGACAAAGTTACATTTTAATAAGAAAGCGTCCAGTAAAGATTTGTTATTTATAATTGCCATGTTAACAACCTTTATCCGGGCCTCGTATCACAATGAGAT